ATGTTCGAATCCCAGCTCTGCCACTGAAAGCTGAGTGAGTCTTGGGCAAATTATTTAAGCTCTCTGTGCTTCACTTTCCTCATCTGTAATATTAGGTGTTGTAAAAATAGTACCGATATCACAGGACTGTAGTGAAGATTAAATGGTTATGCAGTGTGGGCTGACACAAAGAATGCTTTTTGGTGTTTGTTTGTTTTGAGACAGGGTCTCACTTTGTATTGCAGGCTAGCCTTGAGCTTGCTATGTAGCCCAGGCTGGCCTCAAATTCATGGTGATCCTCCTGCCTCCGCCTTCCAAATGCTGGGATCACAGGTGTGCAGCACCATGCCCAGCACAAAGAATGTGATAAACAATGATGACACAATGGCACCTCAGTGCTCACAGTTAACTGGTTCAAGGGGACATCAGGAGCACTGAAAACAAATTGGCTGGAAAAATAAACATTTTTTAAAAGGGCTGGGGTTGTAACACAGTGTAAAGCCCCTGGGTTCAATCCCTAGTACTGCACACAAAAAAGCAAGAAAGTAAGAAAGCAAGAAAGCAAGAAAGCATGAAAACAAGAGAGAAAGAAAGAAAGAAAGAAAGAAAGAAAGAAAGAAAGAAAGAAAGAAAGAAAGAGAAAGGGAGAGAGAGTGAAAGAGAAAGAAAGGGAGAGAGAAAGAGAAAGAAAGAAGGAAAGAAAAGAAAGAAAGAAAGAAAGAAAGAGAAAGAAAGAAAGAAAGAAAGAAAGAAAGAAAGAAAGAAAGAAAGAAAGAAAGAAAGAAAGAAATGTTTGCTCTATAGCTGATACCAGATAAGAAAGTGTACAGACAAGCTAAAGTTTGGGAAAAAATATTTGCAAATCACCTCTCTGGCAAAAGACTTGTGTGCAAGTCAGTACCTGTGGTGTCTATAGTCTCAGATACTCAGGAGGTTGAGGTAGAAGGATCACTTGAGTTTAGGAGTTCAAGGCCAGCCTGGACAACATAATAAGATCCCATTAAAAAAAAAAAAAAAAAGACTCCACAAATACAAAAGAAACTCTCAAAACCCAACAGAAAGAAAAAAGTAACCCCAATTAAGAAATAGCCCAAAGCTTGGTCAGACAGTTCATTAAAAAAAAAAAAAAAGATACATTGGTGGCAAATAAGCACATAATAAGATATCCAAGAGCAGTGAACATTAGGTCAATGTGAATAAAACCATCATGAGATACCACTACACAGCTCCCAGAATGGCTTAAAAAAAAGCCCCCCCCCCCAGCTCTGAGAAAAATCCCACACTGGCAAGTTCAGGACTGACCTAACCCCTCACACATCTCTGGCTGAATTGCAAAGTTACTCTGGAAATCAACTTGGCAGTTCTAATAAAGTCAAACCTATATTTAACATATAATTCAGCAATCCCATTTCTAGGTAATTTCCCTAAAGAAATGAAAAATTATATTCACGTAAAAACTTGTTCTCAAATGTTTACAGTAGCTGTATTTATAATTGCTTCAAATTGGGAGCAACTCAAAGGTCTTTTAATGGGTGAAAACATGTAAACTACATCCCATCTACACTACTACAAAACTACTCAACAAAAAAGGTACTAACTGCCCAGAGTGGTGACACACACCTCTAAGCTCATCACTCTGGAAGGCTGAGGCAGGAGGATCATGAGTTTGAGGCCAGCCTGGGCAACTTTGCAACTTAGGGAGATCCTGTCTCAATATAAAACATTTAAAAAGCCTAAGGATGTGGGATCTCATCTTATTAAAAAGCTTTTGAACAGTAAAAGAAACCACCAACAGAGTGAAGAGATAACCAATAGAGAGGGAAAAATTTTTGCCAGCTGTTCCTCAAATAAAGGACTAATATCTAGGGCCAAGGATGTAGCTCACTGGTGTCCCGCCTGCCTGGCAAGCAAAGTCCTGAATTCAATTCCCAGTACTGGGGGGAGGGGACTACTATTATGTAGAATATATAAAGAACTCAAAAAATCAGACCCCTACAAATTTAAAGACCCAATCCAAAAATGGACATATGAAATGAACAGACATTTCTCAGATGAAGTAGAAACAGCAAATAAATATATGAAAAAATTTTCAATATCACTGATCATTTGAGAGATGCAAATTAAAACACTGAGAGTCTACCTCACCCCAGAAGGAATGGCATTATCAAGAAATCAGCCAATAACAAATGCTGGCGGGGCTGTGGGGAAAGAGGAACCCTTCTCCACTGTTGGTGGGAGTGTCTACTGGTGCAACCACTGTGGAAGTAAATCAGTGTGAAGATTTCTCAAAAAACTAAAACTAGAGGTCTCATTCAATCCAGCTATTCCCCTTCTTGGTATCTTCCTGAAAGAATTAAAAGCATCATACCACAGTGATATATGCACATTCATTTATAGTGGCACAGTGTGTAATAGCTAAATCTTGGAAATAGCCCAAATGCCCATCAACTGACAAATGGATAAAGAAGATGCGGGGTTTCTTTTTAATATAATGGAATACTATTCTGCTGTAAAGAAGGATGATCTTGAGACATTTCTAGCTAAATGAATGCACCTTGAGACCACACTCTTAAGTGAAATAAATCAGACACACAAGTTTAAACACTGCATTGTTTCTCTGGTGTGAGAACTGAAAGTGGAAATAAGGACCAAAGTGTATAATAGATATTGGGAGATGGGAAGAAAATGTTCAAATGGGAAGGCAAGCAAGGGAGGGGGGAAAGGGAAAGGAAAGAAGGGCAAGAAAAAGAGAGAATAGAAGGAAAAAATGGAAACAAAATGTTATGACTTATGTCTAGCTGTACCCCCAAAGCCTCATTCAGTCGTAGGTGGGGCTTTTTCAGAGTTGGCTGAATCTAGAGTGTGTGATTGATTCATGGTACAATGCTAGACCTGAGGGCACTAGGATTAAGGGTGAGTGCTACCTGCCCTAAGTAGCCTGGATAAGATAAAAGGGAGAGAACCCTTGCTGCTTTTGTAGGTGCCATGAACTGTTTCTCCTCTGTGATGCCCCTCTGCCTTGTGCCGCTTGTGTCTTGGAGCCAGCTGATTATAGATTGAAACTTCTACAAACTGTGAGCTAAATAAACCCTTTCCCCTTTAACATTGAGTGTCAGGTATTTTGTCTCAGTAATGAGAGAAAAAGTAAATAACACACAAAGCTTTAGTAAATGACGGGGAGAGGGGCTGAGGAGCATGGGATGGGACAAAAAGAAGCAAGATATATTGTGTACAGGTACAAATTCCTTATGATGAATGTTATCATTATGTATATCTAAAATGTACCAATAAATGTTTTGCTTCAAAAAAAAAAGTCTGAGGATGTAGCTCAGTGCAAAGGCCCTGGGGTCAGTCCCCAGTACTCCCCTGCCAGATGCTGATATGTGTAACAGCTGAATGAGCAAAAGAAGCAAATCTCAAAAGATGACTTACTACCTGGTTTTATTCTTGCAACATTGTTGAAGGACAAAGCTGAGCAGATTTCTACTAGTGATGGCCAGGGTTAGAGTCAGGGAAGGCCATGACAAAAGAGTCAACTAGAAGGGGCTTTTGGCTTCAGACTGATCTATATCCTGACTGCAGTGGTGTTTACACAAATCTATACCTATGTCAAAGTTCTTAGAACTTCCCAGGCCTGGGCACAGTGGCACACGCTGTAATCTCAGCCCTCAGGAGGCTGAGGCAGGAGGATGGCTGCAGGTTCAGGGCCACATAGTGAGTTCAAGGCCAGCCTGAGCTATAAAGCGTGACCTTGTCTAAAAAAAATTCTTAGAAACACACACACACACACACACACACACACAAAGTCAGTTTTACTGCATGTGTATTTTATTTTATTGAGAAAAGGTCTTGCTACATATTTCAGGCTGGCCTTGAACTCACTTTGTTGCCCAGACTGACCTCAAACTCATGGCGATCCTCTCGCCTCAGCCTCCTGAGTGCTGTGATTACAGATGTTTATCACCATCCCTGGCAACTGTATGCTAATTTTTAAAATAAAACAAATTAAAAGTGATCCGTGATATTGTCTTTGTAACTCAGCCCCTCACTTCCAAGCCCTCCTCCCTCCTTTTCCTCATTCTCTGCAACCAGAAACTTCTTAAAGGGGAGGCATTTCCACCCTGTAGATGTCTGATGACATCCTTAGTAACCTGCCTTTGTTACTCTCAATACACTTGGTTGGGAGGGAGGTTTTATTACAGAAATATGGGATAAAGAAAGCAGCCTCCCACACTGAGTGCAGTGGCCCTGCCTATAATCCCAGCACTCCAGAGGCTGAGGCAGGAGAATCACTAAGAGTTTGAGGCCAGCCTGGGCTACAGTGAGTTCAAGGCCAGCCTGGACTACATAGTAAGACCCTGTCTCAGAAAAACAAACCAAGAGGGCAAGGGATTTAGCTCAGTGGTTGCAAAGCCTGCCTTGCAAGCACAAGGTCCTCAGTTAGATTGGTGGTACCAAAAAAAAAAAAAAAAGAAAGAAAGAAAGAAAAAGGAAAACAAAGAAACCAAAAAACAGCAAGCAGACACCCTCAGGAATCCGTCCTCCAGAATTAGCTGCAGTGGGGCCCTCCCACCAGGACCATTTCAAAGCAACCGTTCTTTCCTCATAAGGTTCTAAGACTTGCTCTGTTGCTCAGGGAAACCAGGAGGGCCCTGGGGAGTATGACTTTGACATCTGGATGCTAACGGGAATGTTAGTGTGACCCAGTTCCTCACAGGTCATTGAGTCCTTTCCTGCCATATCTGGGAGGTCGTCTCTCAGGGAGCCTCTTCCCTGTGCCCACCCTCACATTCTGCTCTGTGCCCTGGCTGCAGCTTCTCACCTGTCAGATCCGTCAGGATCACTGCTTAGATCATTCAGCAAACATTCAGCAAATCATTCATTTGTCCCTTCATTCCCTCACTTGCGAATACTGACTGAGCACTTCTTACAGTACACACCAGGCACAGGGCTGAATTGCCTGAATACTTCACTGAACAGACATACACAGTTCCTGCTTGCATTCCAGGCAGGGATGCAGACACTGAACACAAGGTTCTGGCATGTGTTTCAGCGACAGCTGTGCTAAAGCCTATGAAACGGAGGGACATGGTGTGGTGAGTCCAAACCTGGCCAGCCCAGGCCTCCCTGAGGAAAGAGCCGATGAGCTGAGCTGTAGGCTGGCTGGAAGCAGGTCAAGGCAGAGTAAAGGGAAGGGCATTCGCGGCAGAGGGAGCTGCACATGCGAAGGCCCGAGGGATGAGGGTGGCTCAGCCCACTGGGGACACCTGTAGTTGCTGAGGACACAGCAGTGGACAGAGCACGAGTGCTCCAGGGAAACATTTTGGGGACTTTGGCTACTGGCCTGCAGCCTCCATTTCCTTTCCCTTGGGGTCCTCCATCTGCAATAGAGTATCAGGTAGATGTGTATACAATCTGGACCTAGACTGAGGTCACTCTCAGCCCTGGGCTCCATCACTCACTCTGTGTGTGCCGATGGGCCACTTAGTCATCCTGAGTCCTGTTTTTCCTGCCTGTAGAATGGATGTGATACTGTAATATGGCCTTCTAGGCTTGAGGTGAGGATTCAGAGAGATATCTACATGCAGTCGTGGAAAGTCATGATTACGATGCATGCTACAGTAGCAGAGCTCCGTGCAGCGGGGTAGTGTTCTTGCTATTAATAGTGGCACCAGGGCCCCTGACCCTGGAGGTGCAGTCTCAACATGGCTAATTATAGAGTAAACACTGAGCCAGAGAGGGTCTCCCAGCCCCTGGCTTCCTGTGGACAGTCTAGGCAATGATTCAGTTGGAAAGATAGTCCTTGAATCTGTCAAGTAAGTTTTGGAAATGGACTTGCGTTTGTCAGTGGCACAGGCAGGAGAGTGGAGAACAGCTGAGACCCAGGAAGGTTTCTTAGATGTCAGATGTGTGCTGCTAATTGACATCGGCCCACACCTCCTGCTCTATAGCCCACCTGGAAAGCTGGACGCTCTTCCAAAGAATTCCAGCAATGCTACTGGTAAGTAGAGCCCCACTAGGTGCCCCCTGGGCTGAGGGGTCACGGGTTCTGTCTTCCCAGAAAAGCACCTTTGCTCCAGTGGAAGAATGCCTTTGGACTGATAAAGACTCGCTGTGTCCAGTTATGGTAGGAATATTGCAAGGGGGTGAAGCTATTTTTTGCCACATGTTCTATCTCTCCAGCAGGCAGTGACAATACTTGGGATCCAAATAGCCCCAGCCATAGAAGGTCATAGAGCTGAAGACTAGAAGGTCTGGCTCTCCTAGACCCTGATTGCGGGTGCGGGGTTATTTGCATCACCAGTTGAGGGTCCTAGGCCCTCGGACTGTCCCCCCTTCCATCTTGCCCAGCCCCTTTACTCCCCCCACAAGACTCCTGTTGAACCAATTTCCCCTGGGCCTTGAGTCCGGTGGCAGGTGATTATTTTTAGCCTATGATTCCCTGAGAATGAGAGTGGGCCCTTGAGGAGCAGGAGGAGGGAGGAGGGAAGAGGGAGGAGGAAGAGAAACTCGAGGCCCTGGAGGGCTGGGGAGGACACAGGCCAGCCCGAGCCCAATTTCAGCCATGTGGCAGCCTGCCACAGAGACAGGGCCAAGCCTTCGCCCTTCTCGCCCACCCCAGCTCAGGAGTAGATGGGGTTCATGTCCTTGTGTTCACTTTCTTTTTTCCCTGAGGGCCCCAGAGACCCAAGGGGTTTCCATTCCTCTTTCCAGCCACCTTCAGCCTCACTGTCCTTCGGGTTCCCTTACTCAACAATGTTGGTTGTGGAGCAGGACTCCACAGCTCCCCTTTCCTCTTGTCTCCGAACAGATGTCCCCAAGCCCATCTACTTGTTCTTCCTGGCAACATAATGGGCACTTAATAATATAGGTAGACCAAACGATGCGTTTCACTGCTTCTACTTGTAGGCAAAAGCCTGAATAATGAAAGAATCAACAAGGGGAAGTTATAGAGGTCTAGAAACTCTTACAAAACCTCAAGTCATTGCCCCTCGTTCTAGTTCCTGTCTCTTTTCTGAGAAGTGCTCTGGAGCCCTTGGGCCTCAACTTTGTCTCTGTGATCCACAGGAGATGCATTTCTTCTTCAGTTCTGCCTTCACCTTCCTCTGACCTTCTCTCCAGCACTCCCAGGCCCTGCTCCACAGCCTGCATGAGAGGCTGGCTTAACGGGCTCAAATTCTGGCTCCACCACAAGACAGCCGTGTGACCTCTGGCAAGACACCCTGCAAGAAAAGCTATCTGGGGGTGCTGTGAGGACTTGCAAGAAGGTGTGTAAAATGGCTGGTGCATCCTAGGTGCTTGATAAATGGTTGTTTCTTTTACTATCCTTCAATAAATGGTGCAGAAAACTAAGCTTTCTTTTTAACATCTTTTTAAACTCTATACTCAATCATTTTCCTATTTGTAGCCTGCTTTAATATTTTATAAAGCACTCTCACATCCATTAGCTCAGCTGATCCCCACACACCCCTGGAGGAGGCCCGAGTTGGTATTACATGATTATTATTCCCATTACACAGATAAAGACACTCATGCTCCAGAAAAGCATAGACTCATCTTGCTCACCATCGGGTTGATGCGTCTAATGCTGGATCTGGCCCAGAAGGGTAGGCAATCAAAACAGAAGAAAGTAAAACATTTCTGAAAGAATGGCTTATCCCATGTTATCTACTTACCGTGTACCCTTTCCTTATCTGTAAAATGGGGATTAATGCCGAGGGATACACAGAGGAAATTAAAATCCTAGAGTCAGCTACATTTTTAACAGAAGGGCTTGAGACATGTAACCTAAACATTTTCCCTTCTTCCAGAAGAGAGACCAACTTGGACTTCAGGAGAATAACTGGGCAGGACCTCTGACAGAGAGGTCCCCAGACCTGATCTTCTACATCCTCGCACTCTGAGACTTTGGTTTCTCCAGGAAGAAGCTGAATTTAAGAGAGAGAGCGCATGTGGGTCTATGTGTGTGGCCATGGGAAGCAAGTCCCATAGGAAGAGAGAGGAGTCCAGAGCAGAAATTGAGACTCCCACTACTATTGACACCCTGGGGAGGGCTTGGGGTTTAGCTCAGTGGTTCCGCCACCTGCCTCACAAGTGCAAGTACCCAGGATCAAACCCAAGTTTGATCCTAGGTACCAAAAAAAAAAAAAAAAGACATCCTGGGGAAAAGAGTCTGCTGCATTTGGAAGAGATGGAACAGGGATGGGTGAAAAGTTAGGGGAGAACTAAAATACATGCAATCCCTTTCTAGGTCAAAAATCATTTTATTAATTTATGGACATAAAAATGTATTATGTAAAAGTTGATTTTGCTCTGTAAATTATCACAATCAGTATATTACATTTCAAAGTATAATCCTTTGGATAATAATTATAAAACTGTGACTTACTTTTAATTTGTTGAATTTAAAAAATAGAGCTATAGCAGTTGAAGGAAGTTCTTACATCTGCATGTTGATGAGAAGCATAAGTCAGCTTCACTTGACTTCCACACAGCTGCTGATGTTTGGAGCACTTCTGGCATAAGCACAGAGCACATCTCTTTAGGAAAGTTGCTGAGACTGTGAAGGAGAGAAAGCCCCCAGCTCACCGATGCAAACACCTGTGTCTTGGAAATTATCTCATTATTATAAGTGAATGTTTTATTTGTTAGTAACTGTGTCATATTTTTCCCTCAAAATAAAGTATAATGCTTTTATATTCCTGGAACTGGGCTCAGCAAATCACAGAAAGAAAAGATGAAGGAAATAATGATTGAAGCTGGTCTTTGCTGAGCAGCTACTATGTGTAGGGCACTGTTGTAACCATAACAGATGTGCCCTTGTTATACCTATGCAAGGAGGTGAAGTGACTTGCCTAACATGGGTACATAGTAGCAGAGTCAGGATTTGCATTCATGCTCAAAGCAGAGCTGTGCCTGCTTTGTGCGAAAAGTCCTACTCAACTAGTCAAGTTACCGCTGGAGAATGAACTAGGGTGAATGGGTCTTCTCCAGCCTCACTGTCCCACGAGCCATGTGGAACCCTCTTGTCCCTGGTCACCAAGAAAACATTTTTGTGATTTAGATACTAATGGTCCTTGAATATTACTTTAGATTTTGAACTCAGGGTGATTTAAAAACTCTGAACTTTCATTTTAAAGGAACCTTTCTCTTTTTTTTTGTACCAGGGACCAAACTCGGGACCTTGTGCTTGCGTGGCAGGCGCCAGAACCACTGAGCTAAATCCCTGGCTAAAGGAATCTTTCTTTAAATTCTTTTATAGATTATGAGGTCACAGGGGCAAGAAAAAGTCAATTTCCGATTTCCTCCTCATTCCACATTTCTCACCTATGCTTTAACTCGCCTGCCTGCAGCCTCATTCAGAAGCAGAAAAATCAGACCAGCTTTTCCTATGCAATTGTTGGTTCATCACATGATGAGCACTGGACCTGAGAATGGTGTCGGGACTTGGGGGAGAAAAAGGCTCCGTCCTCATTCAGCTTAGCTTCCAGCGAGTGACGGATGACAATAAACATGTAACAGGGAGATGACCAAGCTCTGGTGACTGTGCAGCTGCTCCAAAGGAAGCAATGGGGCAGCTGGAAGGACACACCCTCAACAGCAAGATAGAAAGTTTATAAGAGGAGGTCCCCAAAGGAGGGACCACCCGGGTTCTTGGTTTTGTAATAGCGATTGTCCACAAAGAGGACTTTCCTTGCCCCCTGAGGCCAGGCCCACGTGCCCTCACCAGAAAACCGCACTGAGCTGATTCTAGAGACTCCAGGTGGATGTCCAAACCTTCCAGAAGATTTTGAGACATTACTTCAGGAAAGCAGTCTACCTGGTAGTCTTTGGACTAAAGTCTTACTATCTTTGTGGGGATTTGTTTCAGACTTTCCCTTTCTTCCTTTCTTTCCCTCCTTCCTTTCTCTCTTTCTCTCTTCCTCCCTCCCCCCCTCTCTTCCTCTCCCTGCCTCCCCCCTCTCTCTTCCTCTCCCTCCTTCCCTCCCTCACTTCCTTCCTTTCTTTCTTTCTTGTCCAGGATGGAACCCATGGCCTCAGGCATGCTAGGCAAGTACAGGCTGCTGCTTCTTCTTCCTCTCCTTCCTCTTCTTCTCCCTTCCTCCTCCTGCTCCTCCATCTTCTTTTCTAAGCCTTGCTATGTAGTTCAGACTAGCCTTGAACCTACTATATAGCTGCCCATGAACTCACAGTAGTTCTCTTACCTCAGCCTCCCGAGTGCTGGGATTACAGGCATGTGCCACTTCCCTTTCCTTTCCTTTTCTTTTAAGGAGCAAAAAAAGTTCCTGGAATAAAACAGACACTAACCTCACCCCATACCTTCAGCTCCCACATTCAGACCTCTCAGACCCTGATGGAGGATCAGGGTGAAGTCACTCCATGTTTTGAACCTGAGATAGGAATGTCCCTACAGCCACCCCTCCTGGCTTCCATCTAGGTTCCTGGAACCCTTCCCCAGCCTTGATATCATCACAACAACTAGAAGAGGCAGGCACAAGGGATCACCACCCATGTGCTTCTGCTACCCCAGTGTCTCTCAGCCTCTGCCAGTCGAGTCCTCTCCTCCTGATGTTTTGTCATGTCCTGATACCACCTGCATCATTATTTACTTAATATAGTTTTAAAACTGGCCCATTTTCCCCCTTAGCTTAAATGCATTTGTTCAAACACAAAATTTGACATCACTATTGTAATTGGAAATCTGGTTTTACTGACCTTAAATAGAAGGCAGCCATAAAGAGAAATGCAATGATATGTCATCAAATCCCAGCTAGGCACTGTGGCCTGCTGCAGGCTCTGAGGCCTATAGTCTCTGTGAAAGAGGGAGGTTGGCAGTCAGGGGAAGTGTTGAAGACAAGCTGGCCTCCAGCAGAGCTTTCTCTTGAAGCAGGAGATCTGAGAAAGGGCTGGTTGTTGCTGTGAGGAGTGACCACTATGTCATGCTCACCTGGGTGGCACTTACCCCACCCCCAGGGAAACCGAAAGGCACACCCTTGCTGCAGAATGACTCCAGGCCTATCCAACTGGTCCCCAGTGACCACCCACAGCCCCGCGCCAGCATCTTGGGGTGTCCTTTGCAAGGCTGTCTCCCCCCCACCCCCGTGGGGTCCAGGACTCCTTCCTGCCTACTCTTGTCCCATCCCGCCAGGCGTCAGAGGTCTGATGTGCTGCTGGGCCCTTCCAGTCCTCTCCTGCTTCCCAGTCTGCCCTTCTAGGCCTCCTTGTGCCCAGCCAGGCACCTTTCTAAAGTCAGATGTGACCCTGTTGGTCCACTACTAAACCTCCCTGCCTCTCCACTGCCCCAGGGCCGCAGCCTCCTCCTCCTGGACACCTCGGGCCCAGCCTCCTTCCTCCTTCACCTCCAGGTCTCGCAGGGTGACATTTGGAATCCTTTACTTCCTCACCAGGCTCTCTTGAGCCCGGAATTTCAGACACAGTGCTCCCTCTGCCTGAAGCACTGCTTTCTCACTGTTACCCACACAGTCTTCCGTCTCCCACCCTGCCCTGCAGCCCTCCATTCCTCACGCTGTCTTGGAATTGCCCGAGTCTGTGGGCCACTCCAGCTCCATCTCTCCCCGGGCTGTCTGTGCTGAGCCACACCAATGCTGGCTGACTGAGTGGAAGTTATTCACCCTCCCCACCTATCACCCCCGCTCTGACTTTCTACCTGCTCTGCCCTGAATCTTGTCCTAACTAAATCCTGCCCCTCCCAACTGAGAAGTTCCAGGTCGATTCCCAGGAGCCACGCCTCCCATAAAACCACCTGGATCTCCAGCCCACACAAAACCCACCTTCTGTTGAGCCGAATGAATGCATGCAGCAGTGCACATGATGAATGGAACTCAGGTAGAAAATAATGTCATTTAAAACTCAAGCAAGCGAGTTCTGTGCTCCAAGAGGGAAGACATAGTTCCTATGTCTCCATAAGATTTCGTTCCTAACTCTCCATAGGATTTCTTTCCTTGGAAAGGCTGGTAGGAAAAAGAGAAACAACAGACTAAGATTACAAAGACTTTTCCGGTTGGGTGTGGTGGTGTACACCTGTAATCCCAGCACTGGGAAGGCTGAAGCAGGGGGATCACTGTGAGTTCAAGGCCAGTCTGGGCTACATCGTGAGTTCAAGGCTGGCCTGAACTACATAGTGAGACCCTGTCTCACAAAGCAAAAACAGGGCCGGTGATTTAGCTCAGTGGAGCCATGGCTCTGCCTTGCAAGCACAAGGTCCTGAGTTCGATCCCCGGTACCAAA